TGAATATATTCTTTGATTATACCCAATTTCGGATTGGATAAGAATCAACTTTCTTAAAAAAGATTGCAGAATTAATAAACTGTAAATATTTTAAAATCGACAATTGAATATATTCTTTGATTATACTCAATTTCGGATTGGATAAGAATCAAATTTCTTAAAAAAGATTGCAGAATTAATAAACTGTAAATATTTTAAAATCGACAATTGAATATATTCTTTGATTATACTCCAATTTCGGATTGGATAAGAATCAACTTTCTTAAAAAAGATTGCAGAATTAATAAACTGTAAATATTTTTAAATCGAAAATTGAATATATTCTTTGATTATACTCAATTTCAAATTGGATAAGAATCAAATTTCTTAAAAAAAGATTGCAGAATTAAGAAACAGTAAATATTTTAAAATCCACAATTGAATATCTCATTAAAAAAGAGTAGAGAATTGATCTTAAGGAAATGTTAAAAATATCTGAGAAATCAAGTCGATTCCAGACTGGAAGTCTCGTAAAACTTGAGCATTAATAGTTCCTGTCAGGCAGTAAACCCAAATAAGTTTACTACTTCACGACAAACTTAGTTTAATGCCTTTTTACACCGGATATGGCTTTTTTATCGGGAAATATTATTGAGGTAATTTGAATTGAAACGAATCAGAATTCAGCGCTATCTCTGGGAAAAGCGCTGAAAATCTTAAGCTTAACTGTATGCAACCAAATATACTCGAGTCGAATAAATTCAAAACTTTTCTAATTCGAATCCAAATAAAAACAATGAGGTCGCCTGTATCACGAAAATCCGATTGGTTCTATCTTCAAAAACCAACAACTTGAAAAGGGATAGAATGGGTAATAGTTATTACTTGCAAATGATTCAATTAAAACTAAACAGTTTCATGAGTTTTTAGTAAAATAGGTGAGGCAATTAAGTGTCGAATCTTATCTGTGAGATATATTAAATGTAATGAGAGAGATAACAATTCTAGTAGTCAAAGATTAAATGCAACGGGCGTAAATTATTGTTATTGAGTAATAGTTAAAGATGGACAAAAATATTCAGATAATGGTGCTTGGCAATGGTAACACAGGAAAGACCTGTTTGCTGCTGGCTTACAAAAAGAAGGAATTCGATGGAACGCAAGTGCCCACCGTGTAAGTTTGATCAAGTAATCAATCAGTTTATCGCAATGATGATGTAAATTAAAGAATAGAAAATTATCCTATGGAGATCATGATCGATGGAAAACCTCAACAGATGACCATCATAGACACCGGAGGTCAGGAAGATTATGATAGATTGAGGCAAAGCATATACAAAGACGTAATAACTTTAATTTTCTATTTAATTTCATTCAATCAAACTAATATCTATAATTCAATGCAGTGCAACGTTTTTATAGTGTGTTACTCGGTCGCTTCCAGGACTAGCTTTGATAACGTTAAAGACAAATGGATCAAAGAGCTGAATTACTATTGGCCCAACTGCATCGTCATTCTTGTTGGTGAGTAAAACGTAACAAAATTATTATATAATGTTAACCGTTGCTGTTGTCAGCTACTAAATCCGATTTGAGACAGAGCATGGAAGGATGTATTGAGAAGTCCGAAGGGTTGAAGATGAAGAAGAGGATAGGAGCTCACGATTTCGTGGAATGCTCTTCAAAGCTGATGTACAACGTGAACGAGGTTTTCGAGAAGGCCATAACGGCAGCATTAAGACCCAAAATTGTCAAGAAAAAGTTCTGTGTTCTGCTGTGATTTCTGTATTTAAACAAATAAATTTTCTATTGTCTATATATTTGTAAATATATTAATTTCACAAGAAAGACTTAAATCTTATCAGGGAGATATGATAAGGTATTAATGAAATCTAGTGAGGAAAGTAAATATTGGTAAGCAGTGTATATGGAATTATGGATGGTATAATTCGGATAACCGTGGTTGGCGATGGTAATACTGGGAAGACGTGCATGCTTTACGCTTACAAAGACAAGAAGTACAATGATCATCATTCGTCTACTGTGTATGTATATGCTCATCAATTCATCGTGTTGTGATAACATTAATTACTTGAAGATTCGACTCATATTCCATGAGCATAGAAATCGATGGTAAACCAAGGAGGATGATACTAACGGACACGGCTGGACAAGAGGAGTACGACAGGATCAGAATCTTGGCTTACAAAGAAGTAACTGATCAAACCTTAAGTTAAAAATGATAAAAACCATTATTTTTAGTGCGATGTGTTTGTTTTGTGCTACTCTGTGGATTGTAGGATAAGTTTCTTAAATGTTAGGAACAAATGGGCCAGGGAATTGATGAAGATCAAACCGAATTGCAGAATCATCTTAGCTGGTTAGTGTTAAGATCTAGACGTGTATCTATGCTACAAACTGTTTACGTTTGCAGCCACCAAAAGCGATTTGAGAAAAATCTACAATGGTTGTGTCTCAACTTCAGAAGGTTTGAGGTTGAAGAAGGAGATCAGAGCAAACGATTTCGTGGAATGCTCTTCGAAACTGTTGCTGAACGTGGATATAGTGTTTCAGAAAGCTGTGATCGCAGCAATCCATCCACATTTTGTAAAAAAAACAAAACCGAAAAAAGAGGAATGCGCAATTCTCTGAAAACAACATTTCAGATTTCAATATTCAATCGTTCACAAGTCAAGTTAAAGAGATAAAGTTGTCAGATTGTGTAGTAATTTATTAAATTATTTGATATTTTTAACAATGCTATAGTTTCATGTCCTTTTATGATTTTTATATTAATTAATCGAGTAAAAATACTGATTTTTGTTAAGAATTGAGAAAATCAATAGTGGATCAATATAATCCATATTTTGTTGTGTTGTAAGTGGATAACATTGAAAAACTATTTTTAGCACTTACAATCGACTAAAGATAATTCCGATTTTTGAAATAGTGCTTGAGCTGTAGGAGAAATTGATATGTATAATGGAGGAAATCTTATCTAAGCCAGATATTGGAATGGTGCAGCGATAAGACGTCAAAATATGAATTGGCTGCGGATGAAATAGGTGTGAAATGTCGCTGCACGCTATTGTGTTCTTTTAGTCTCAGAAAAAATGGAAAAATTAATTCGAATTATGGTGGTGGGCGATGGTAACACCGGTAAAACGTGTATGCTGTTCGCCTACAAAGAGAAGAAGTACGATGACACACATCCGTCCACCGTGTATGTATCACCATCTAATCGCAGGTATTTTCACTGTAATTAATAAATATGTTTAAGATTCGACACGTATTCCATGGATTTAGATATTGATGGAAAACCGCACAAGATGATCCTCACAGACACCGCCGGTCAGGAGGAGTACGACAAGATCAGAGTGTTGGCCTATAAAGAAGTAAGGATACAAAAAAACTAAATATCGCAAAGTCTAAATCTGCTTGTAGTGCAATGTTTTCGTGTTGTGCTACTCGGTGGATTCCAGGACTAGCTTCAACAGTGTGCTGTCAAAGTGGTCCCAAGAACTGAGGTACTTCAGACCCAAATGCATCATCATTTTGGCTGGTGAGTAAACATCATAACTTGTTCATGATCAAACAGTATAAACCGATCATTTTTTAGCAACAAAAATCGATTTGAGACAGAGCAACCAAGATTGTGTCACCGAAGCCGAGGGGTTGGAAATGCAGAAGCAGATAAAAGCAAACGATTACGTGGAATGTTCATCTAAGTTGATGTTAAACGTGGACGCGGTTTTCCAGAAAGCTGTAATCGCCCAGATTCGTCAGAAGAAAAAGAAGAAATGTTCAGTTCTGTGATCTCGCCAAGGAAAGATTACAATATAATTATTAACTACTAATACTACTACTAATAAATATAAGTTGTAGCTATACTTATTTAACTATCTTCAGTAAGATTTAGATTAAAGATTTTTAAACAACATCCAAAAACAGATAAAATTATACCAACATTATCTAATTGTATTATTGGAATCATGTAATATAATATTTATTATTCATACTGTTATCATCTGAACACCAATAGATTAATATTTTAAATGACAGCTTGTTTTTAAAATTATTAGAAAAATAATAAATGTAATTATTTGTTCGATAATTAATTAAATATTATAAATTAATATTTTATAAAATTCTGTTGCAATTTATTTCGAATTTGAATTCAAATAATGTTTCTTGTACAAGTGTGCTACTTCAGTTGCCTACGTTCTTACATCAAATTGTTACAAATGTTTAAAATTTCTACTTTGTAATTTCTGTTTCATAAATAAGTTATGTAATGTAACGTGGTAAAGTTGACAATACTGAAAATAACGGTCCAGAATTTAGGGGATACCGGATCGAACCGTGAAGAGAGACGGTTGTGGTCTCCAGTAGAAGAGATATAAATATATATATATTTGGTCCAGAACTGTGAAGGAGCTCTATAGAGAAGAAGTGTGCTGATCTGAAGAAGCAGAAGTTGGAGTTCTTCCTCTCCGGAAAAGAAAGTGGCGCCTAGTATCTTTCCTCCGACGTGAAGATTTTTTTATACTTTACATTTGTATTTCGTACGCGATAGCACCCGTCGTATTACAATACGAATTAAATGTATATTTCGTAACATTATTGTGAACTTCAATTTGGATATGTTAATTAAGAAATTATTTTTCGTTTAAATTTACACAGTAGATATATTAAATATGTAATGTTGATGATAAATATTAAATAAGTTTCTATTGTAGCTTTATATTATACAATGCATATAAAGTATATGCAGCTTTGATTACAGTCAACCCTCATATAACGCGGATATGAAATTGCGACAGCCCTCCTATAACGCGGTACTCTTACAGCGCGGTTTCCGTTCAACATCATCCCATAAGTTCCTTCCGCGCAGCGTATGAATGACTCTAGTAACTAGATATTTTAACTGGATCATCCAAATGTGAAAATTGTCTTTTTTCCTTCTAACTGCACGTCATTAATATAACCTTTGGACCAAGGAGTCATTCAAACTTTAAAAATGTACTACACACGCCAACTTTTCCAAACCATTTTCGACAGATTAGAAAACAGTGAAAATAAAACCCTTACTCAAGTGTGGATGGAATTTTCTATTTTAGATTGTATTAGAACCGTGTCATCGGCTTGCGCGGAATTAAACCATCAACGTTAACGTTGGAAATCCTCTTTTATACTCAAATGGTTAAAGCAATACAAGATGATTCTACAATTTCACTCCCAGTTACAGAAATAGTAAACATTGCTTCTCGTTTAAGCGATGAAGAATTTGCAGTAAACCATCAGGATGTAAGAGAACTAGTACTCGGGGAAGAAACTTTAGATGAGGAAGAACTGATGGAATTAATTGATGCATCCACCTCAAATGCATTGGTAAACGAAAATAAGGAAAGGAATGAGTGCCAAATCTCGATTTACAAGATGTGAGAAAATGGCTAAATTTGGTTAAAGAATTAGAACTTCATTTGATTCAAGCTGATCGTTCAACGGTGCGCAGCGCAAAGTTTAAAAGAGAGTTAAGAAATTGCTTTGATTCCTATAGAGAGGTTTTAGTGGAGTTAGAAAAAAAAAGCTACAATCGAAAACCAATATGAAGATGAACTAAGTGATGAAGACATTTTGCCCATTAAAAGAAGACGAGTTAGGCGAGTCATATTTGATGAGTGTTGAAAGATTACATAATTTTACAAAAAGTCTTCATTGTTTTTGTTGAAAAACAGTCTTTTAGTTTAGTTCTTCTTTCATTTTTTTTTTATCAATCCTTATATGAACTATTCAATTCAATTCAATAAAAATAATTTATAATTTATCTGGTCTTTTGTATTTATTGCTCTCCATATAACGCGATACGAATGATGTGATTTGTACTAATTCCGAGTTTCTTATAACGCGGTTTCCATACAACGCGGTAGACGGTTTCCATAGAACACGCTACGAATTAATCGGTTAAATCCGAGTTTCTTATAGCGCGGTTTCCATATAACGCGGTACGCACTCTGTATATCATTTCTGGTCATAAAGTTATGTATTTGTATGTAAATTGAATTGCGTAATGTCAACTCATTATGTAAGGTTTACTATGGAGATGGATTGCATTGATCATGTTTATGTTATTGGTGATATCAAAGGGATTGCGGCTATATAATTGGTACGATAACTTCAATCGACGTTACGTGCAGAAGGGAAATTTCCCGAATTAACGTGAATTGCGTCAACGGTAACCAACCGAGCGAGCAAACAAAACAAAAAAATAAACAAAAAGGAAAGAGGGAAAAAAAGCAAGGGATTTACGTAATTAGGATGCATCCGCTGACAGACCAATGACCCGACGTCGTGGCCTGGGAATTTGTCAGGGAGACGAAGTTAATTTATTGCTCCCCCGTGGGCTTCAACTTTAATTCGCAACGCGTCGACCTTTGCCACCTTCGATCCTCTCTCTTTCACCATCATTTCTGCAACAACATTCCACCCCCGTTTGCATTGTGCAGTATTTTCCGAGGACAATTCGGGGGATGGCTTCCACTTTCGTCGACCTCATCATCGATGGAAGCCAATTCTCCAATTAAAAAAAAATAAAGAAAGAACAACAACTGCGTCGAAGTGAGAGCAGAAAAAGGCAGAGAAGACTAATTTAATTTGTTTTTATGCGTTTAATTTCGGGAAGAGCCCTCACCGAACCGCGGGACGCGATTTTCGTTACCCCCCAACTTCGCAATAAAAGATAATTTGAATTTAACCAAAGCATCGCCCCCCCTTTGTTCTGGTGGTGGTAATGGACCATTATCAGTTGACTTTTGATTTTTCTTCTCGGAAACCAACAATGAAACTGTCAAGTGTGCGTGTGTATATATATATATAAATTTATAGATATATATATATATATAAATGTGAGGCAGTATAAAAATTTAATTAAATTTCTGGTAAAGAAACGAGCGGACCTCGGGAGTTAGATTAAAATTCGTGGCACGCCAAACTAAATATTTAACCGGGGTAGTGGAGGAGGGAAGTCCGATTCGTATTTGTTTCTTCCGTTTTAATTAAATATCGATCCGAAGTGAAGAGAAATCAAGATTTTCACGTTTCGATCAGATTTTGCCGTGTCGCGCGCGTTTATCAGTCTAATCGCCCTAATCCGTCCTAAAGGTATCTTCACCGAAATCTGAATTGGCATTTAGCAATTGATCCAATCTATTTAAACCCAATTCCGGCGTTAATCTGTATGATTATATTCAAATATTCTAAATAGTGCTTAATATTATTAAAAACTATTTTTTGTATTAATTATTTCAAGATGTTGTGGGTTTTTTTAAAAAAAAGTTTTAATTTGCAAACCTTGTGATATTTAATGAATTTCTCTAAACCAGCGGTCGGGGAACTTTTTTAACCATTATCCCAAAATATTATTGTGTAAGTCGATATTAGCCCCCCCCATTCTGATTTCATGAAACAATCAATGTAAATTTTAAATAAACATTATTTATTGAATTAATTTGCTTTTACATATTTATAAAAAAAAAGTTACATGAGAATAGTAACAAATAGTAATAGACAAACAAAATAAAATTCTTAAATTGAAACAAACAAAAATTAATTGAAATCTTTCCTCCTTCAGGTTTTGGAAGCATGATGTTGCTTCACGTTTGATATAATTACTTTAAAATTGGGACTTTTTGATGTAAAAGCAATTTGAATACAGTCTTCGGCGTTAAATCGATTTCTGTTTTTCGTTTTTATGTTCATTAGAGTGGAAAAGCCTTGTTCACAAAGGTAGGTTGTTGCAAATGGCAGCAATTTTTTTACCGCCTCCTCATGTGCAATTTTGAAAGCTTTTGCAGCCTTTGGCAACCAAAAAGACGACAGATTTGCTTTGGTCTCAAATTGAATACAGTATTGAATGTAAGTTCAAGAATTGCCTCTGCCAAACCTAGAGGTTCTTCTGGTATGTTAGTTATTTCACATTTAAAAGGATCTTCAACCCAAATCACAGTTTGTACATCAAGATCTGAAAAGTAGTCAGAGAACCGTTCTCTGAGTTTGGTAAGATGAAATTAGAAAAATTTCCCTANNCCCCGACCGCTGCTCTAAACTTAGGAAAGGTATATAAAAGCTAATGGCAATTAAGATTGTAGCGAATACATTGAGTGTAATTGAAACAGTAACATTCCTTAATTAACAATTAAGCTTGAAATAATTAACTTTCAAGTCTCAGAATATCCTTTTAGCGCACTAATTAGTTAACTAATTAATCTCAATATGTTGTGTGCAATGAAGTTTATAGATAAAGCATAATTAAACTAATGGTCTTGTCAATAGTGCGCCGCAAATATAAAGATATCCGTTAAGATAAGCGTACAAAAGTTCGAGATGAAGTCTGAATTACCGATTTTTATGAGTAGAAGGTCCTTATCCTTCTCTCATGGAAAACGCAGCTAGCAAAAAGGATTTCTTTCGTTCCCGTTCCGCCCGTCAGAGCGGCGGATTTTATGTGCATTGTTTCATAGATGAATGTGCGAAATTTTATGTGGAGCAAATGTCTCGGAAACTAATTGCGACCCGGAGATAAATCAGAGGATAAAGTGGAAACTTCGCAAACAGTTCGGATGCTCCAGCATCCCTTTTTGTTGTTCTTTCCGTTCATTTCTCTTTCTATATATATTTTTGTCTTTCACGGCGATTTTCGTTTACCTGCAATGTGGACGGGCGAAGTTTTGAACTTGTCTGCAGCCGGTGTGATCAGCTGGGAACAGGACATCTGCAGACCGACGTTCAGGATGTGCACGAGGATCGTGCAGGCAATTATGATCCAGCCCCATCCGCCCTCCGGGTAGTAATGCCTTCGAAGCGTTGTGGCCTACGAAAATAGGAGAAGGCATGTAATAACAGCAGACGAACGAAAACATTTGAAAAGATGCCTCTTTTTTTCGGAATGGAATAGCGACGAACCTTGCGGGCGTCCAGGGGAAGATCCGGTGGCAGGAGAAGATCAGAGGTTGCGGGTTTCATTGGTTTCCTTGCTAGCTCGGTGCACGCGGGGCATAGCTTCTTCCTGTTCCTCGAATCTCTTTCAGTATAGATCAGATCCCAATTGTCCACCTTGATGCTGGGTCTGCGTGTCTCCTGTTCACCATTAGAGACCTCATCGATACGTCCCAAAGCCACCACGTGCAATCTGTCAGCTGTTGACAATAAACTAAATTTATATTCAACTGTTCAATTTCCAAGACCACCTTAGCATCAAATTTAAAAATTATTTATACATCAAAATTCAGCTTTTATTGTTGGCAGTGATTTCACTTTACTTTTTGTTATTGTTGTTGAAATTGCGGAAGAAACAGAAGGAAAATTCACCGTGCGTTCTAAGACTGATCGAGCTGAAGTTATGTCACGTATCTGCCGTAGCTGTTTCGCACTTTTAACAATGGTAGCAATTCGTAATCCGTTTTGGAAATTGGTAATAAAAAAATATATATAATTAGCTTTCGCCGCATCATGAGAATTAAAATCTGAGACGTAAGCAAATAGAAACAAAGACTTACTTGGTTCTGCGTCCAAATCTTCAAGATCGTGATCTAAGACTGTGGAAATCGTGTCCGTCCTAATTGCAGACTGCTTGCATCTTTGTGACCTGGTGAACATCTCCACGTTGCGATGACACAGAGGGAGTACTGATTCATCTTGAATTTCCTGCAGTTACATTTAGTTATGATATAACATTCTTAAGTAAACTTTGTTTTTTTTTTTATTGGAAGTAGAAAAAATATAAGAAAATGATCAAATCTTTTTTTATAAACAAAAAAAAACATAAGAAGAGAATGCAACTTGTCAATAAATTAAAAATGTTTACAAGAAACAATGTTAATATTCCGTTAAAATGAATAAATAAATTTGTAATTATATAAGAATAAAGTTTTGTTTCTTTTAATTATTTAATTACTTGAAAACCACACACGTTAATTAGTACATGGAATAATTTCCTGCAGTTAAGTTGCATTTAGTTAAAACTTAATTAAACTTTGTTTTTTGTTTAATAAGAGTAGAAAAAAATATAAAAAAAGGATTAAGTTTTCTTTGATAAACAAATGAAAACTAAGAAGAGAATCCAACTTGTCAATAAATTAAAAATGTTTACAAGAAACAATGTTAATATTTCGTTAAAATGTATAAATAAATTTGTAATTATATAAGTAATAAAGTTTTGTTTCTTTTAATTATTTAATTACTTGATAATCACACACGTTAATTATTACATAGAATAATTTTCTGCAGTTAAGTTGCATTTAGTTAAAACTTAATTAAACTTTGTTTTTTGTTTAATAAGAGTAGAGAAAAATATAAAAAAAGGATCAAGTTTTCTTTGATAAACAAATGAAAACTAAGAAGAGAATCCAACTTGTCAATAAATTAAAAATGTTCACAAGAAACAATGATAATATTCCGTTTAAATGAATAAATAAATTTGTAATTATATAAGTAAT